TGGGGAGGGGGCACCGGGACATGGGGGGCATGGGGGGCACAGGGACATGGGGGGGGCACCGGGATCTTTTGGGATTTGGGACTTTTCAGAACAGGAATTTTGGGAGTTTGGGGCTGGGATTTTTGGGGATTTGGGATTTCCAATCGGGATTTTTTGGGGTTTGGGATTTCGGGCTGGGATTTTTTGGGATTTGGGATTTCAGGATGGGATTTTTTGGGATTTGGAATTTCGGGATGGGATTTTTTGGGGTTGGGATTTCCGGGATGGGATTTTTTTGCAGTTTTGGATTTCAGGGTGGGATTTTTTTGTGGTTTGGGATTTTTTTTTGCAATTTGGGATTTCAGGGCAGGATTTTTTGTGAGATTTAGGATTTTTTTGGAATTTGAGTTTTCAGGGTGGGACTTTTTGCGATTTAGGATTTTTTTGGAATTTGAGTTTTCAGGGTGGGATTTTTTTGCGATTTGGGGATTTCAGGGCAGGATTTTTTTAGGGTTTGGGTTTTCCGTGTGGGATTTTTTTTGGGTTTGGTTTTTCCGGGTGGGATTTTCTTGCGGTTTAGGATTTTTTGGGGGGAGGATGGGATTTCCGGGCACGATTTTTTTGTGATTTGGGGTTTTTTTTGTGATTTTGGATTCCAAGGCAGGATTTTTTTGCATTTTGAGATTTCTAGGCGGGACTTTTTTGGGATTTGGTTTTTCCGGGTGGGATTTTTTTGCTGTTTGGTTTTTCCAGATGGGATTTTTTTGCTGTTTGGTTTTTCCAATCGGGATTTTTTTGCTGTTTGGTTTTTCCGGGCGGGATTTTTTTGCTGTTTGGTTTTTCCAGGTGGGATTTTTTTGCTGTTTGCTTTTTCCAATTGGGATTTTTTTGCTGTTTGGTTTTTCCAGGCAGGATTTTTTTGCTGTTTGGTTTTTCCAATCGGGATTTTTTTGCTGTTTGGTTTTTCCGGGCGGGATTTTTTTGCTGTTTGTTTTTTCCGGGCGGGATTTCTTTAGGATTTTCGGAATTTTTCCGGGGGGTACCTTGAAGAGCGGGTGCTGCGGGGGCAGCCGGCGCAGCGTGGCCAGGGCGAACA